GTGTGTGTATGTGTGTCTGTATGTGTGTTTGACCGGAAATTCATAACTTCCTTCAAAACAGCGATAAAGCGCTCAAACTTGATAAGTGATGTAGGGGGTCGGGCAGGAACATTATTGGTGGGTGGCAGGAAGTGATAACAGCTGATAAGATACCACGAGGAGCCTTAGAAGGAGTGAGTTACCTAATTCATAACACCGGCCACAACAGCGATGGGACGTTGGTTCCAAGAAGTTAGATCAGGATCAGGATGGGACAATTATTATTGGGTGGCAAGAGTTCATAGCACGAGTTGTAGCAGCACTGGGGGAACTGCTTCCGGCAAGTCATTCAGAAGGGGTTACAGAGCATTCGTGAAGGGATATAAGTTGTATATAGTGTGAGAAAAGGGCTGATAAGCACCAGTACCTGTTCGCATCCTTACTGCTCAGCCTGAACTTGAGCACCGGTGCCCACGAAACAATGGGCAGAGGCTTATGAGTCAACTTATTCCATCCCTTAGCGATAGGATGACTGATTCGACCGCTAAACACTCGAGAGTCGACAAAAATTAAAAGCTTTGGAAGCTGCTTAACGAAAGTACTAGGATGTGAGAATATATCACTATGGTGTCCATGTTATTACCATCGAAATTCTTTCGAACCGCTAAGCTGTCCTATTTCCAACGAATGGTGAGTGCTCTTTAGAAATGTGATAAGCACCAGACATTAGCAAATGTTCATTAAACAGGAGAAACATAATGAAATGGGCCGTATTTCAAAAAATGGCGCTCGGGCCCAGTGTTCGGGGTCAGCACGGGAATCCTGCCAGCGATGTACCATTACCATAGATTCAACCATGCGCGCAGTAGTGCGCGTCAGCCAAATTGGTAAAATGAGAAAATGAGATGTTGGTTCGACTGTGATAATACCCTCAACTACATAAGAAAGTCATCAAATACACTCCGAGCCATTGCACGAGCTGCTCGCGGCAGCTGGACTTGAGATCGCGCGGGGCGAGCTGGAAGGGGACTGCTTCCCACCCCTGTTTTTGCCGAACCTGAGAGCATGCAGGTGAGGGAGACCGAGGGAAGGATTCGGGTGAAGGGGTACGGTGAGGGGGGGGGTGCGCAGCGCACGCTTGAGTAGGAGCACGCAGCAAGCTGCTCGCGTGGTAGCTGAACGTGAGCTCGTGCGTGTGTTGCTCCATCTATTACGATTCGATCAAAACAGCGCAGTATGAGCAGCTAAGTGAATGAGCAAATTCCGTTTCCATTATGAAGTGCGCCTGGCGAAGCCAAGCCAGCTAAAGAGAAGGAGGAGAGCTCGGCGTAAGCCGGGCGATCCGACTGGTAACTATAAATAAATTGATGAGAATGGATGACGGAATTTCCACAATTTCACGACTATACTGCTGCACTGTTTGAAAGGCTGTTGGCGAGAGCTCAGCAGGTTAGCTAGCCCAAGCAACTACCTGAGGTCATGCCGCACGCAAGTGGCAGGCGATACATGGCGAGGCTCCTCCCACTCTACCGTTTCCTTGCTATATACCGCCCAACAGTATCTCCATTCACCCTATCAAAGCATGGATATGGGATATGGATCTAGCGACTATTTCCAAAGGAGACCGTTAGCCATGAGTCAGCGCCTAGCACCGGTACTCGCAGTGTGCTTCATGAGCAGGATAGAAGGACTGGTACTGGAACGCTTGCCACTAATGTACTGTAGATATATAGATGACTGCTTCATTGTGAAGTCGACACGGTCCGAGATGGACGAGTACTTCCGAATGATGAATGAGCAGTCTCACAAGGAAGGTTTTTAGGGCGCGGTGCGCTTTTCGAAAACTTTTTTGCATATTGTAGGGCCAAGGCAAAAACCGGAAGCTTGCATTCTCGCTGCGCGCTTCAAGAAACGTAAAAACAGTGAAAAGAATCTTTGGAACGCTCGATTCTGCTGGGCCTCTGACGGCGTAGCGTCACTGCAACTTTGACCAGGCTGAGTGCGGTCCTTATAAAGGGCTATCTTGCAATGGAAGCGCGTACATCCACCGCAAGAGCTCGAACTTGGGTACACGTGGCTCAAAGTTAACAGGCTTCCGCGAAGTGGTTTCATCACGAATAGAGCGCCTGAGACAGGACCTCGAGTCAGCCGGATGTCAGTGCGATAGAGGGAGGTTCGACATCGGTCACATAGAGGTCGGGAATAGGTTGGCCCACACTGCGTCATAAGGGTGTTGCTCCATTCTATATCTTCGTTCCGCAGCTTCCATTGCGCCGCTCGAAGATAACATCGGAGGCCATTCAGGGCACCATCCTGAGGTAACTGTACCTCATAAGAAGTCAGGCTAATACGACTATTTCAGATCTCACGACCGTCACCATTTGAAACACGATTTTCGCCTGGAACGTTGATCCTCATAGGCATACAGTGCATCCTGATTGAAGAATTTAGCTAACTCTGATGCGATGTAAAATTAGAGACCAACTGGGCCAACATCTGCTTCGCACCTGAATGCCGTTCATTACATTAATAGGGGGAAAGTCAACGCATACTGCTCCGCCGAACAATTGCGTGGACGCTCGCAAATACGTTATATCTGATCAGGCCACTATACCACTAAAAGAAATTTTCGTTCAAACAATTCTTGACCTTCTTGGGTTGCTTATTGGGTTGTCCGGGTCCGTACTTAACGAATACTGTGCCAATCGCGTTACAACATTTGAACTCGTACGCCCACTGCCGAACACAATGACGGTCACGCGTACAACCTGAAAAAACCAAAAAACAATTTCCGCCGCAAACATGCCCTAGGGTAACTCAGCAGTCCTATCATGCAGAGCCAGACTTTAACTTTCGGTTCCAGTGCCCAGTCGGGCACCGCAACAGGCGCGCCGAAGAGCTGAGTCTGTGCATACTAACGAATTCGAACGAAAAAGCAGTGGCGTCATAAAAGTAGGATTGTTCAGTTTATCGTGAATGTTTTTGTTAGGACCAATTTTAGACAAACATGGATCCAAAAAATGAAAAATTGTAGAAAAGCAAAATTTTGTCCTCGGTGGGATCCGAACCATCGACCTATTTTTTACGTTTTTTTTATTCGTAGAAGCGCGCAGCGAAAATGAACCTCAGTTTTCTGGTCCTCGTATGTGCCCCTACAATATGCACAAGACCATTTTGAAAAAGCTCACCACGCCCTGAACGACCTCCCTTGTCAGTACATTAGGCTTACACGAGAAGGTACCATGCAATGGTTGGCTTCCCTATTTGAACACCAAGGTGAAAGTGTCCGATGGCATGCTCAGTGTGAAGTGGTACAGGAAAGCAAGCTCAAAGAACATCCTGATTCATGCCACTTCTGCTCACCCTTCTGCCATGCGGTGGTTAGGAATATGTTCAGAACGGCTGCGAACGTGTGCACAGGTGCGACAGAGCGGCAAGAGTGTCCACGCTGTACCAATACATTGAAATCGCGGACGAACTAACACTGAGCACCGGAGCGTCCCGCCCCAAGACAAAATCCCCTTATGTATACCATTCATATCTGATAAAGTAACTGCCGCAATTCAAAGATGTCTTTTTCGAGCGCAGCTAGGCGATGTTGTGTTAGTGAGTATTCCTAACAATAATATCAAACGTCAACTCGTGCGAAATAGGCTCTATGACAGGCAGTCATAGAGCCTATTTCACACGAGACATATGTGGGCTATGCGGATTAGGTGGAGATTGCGCTAAAAGTGGTGTGATCTACCAACTTGAGTGTCAGACATGTAACGCAACTTACATAGGGGAGACTGGAAGAACACTGGCGATACGTATCAAAGAGCACCTCGCTGGTAAAAGGCGCGGCAATACGCGTACACCGCTTGGCAGGCATTTGATCGAGGAGCATGGCGGAAACGACTTTGATGTGAAGTGCAGAATTCTGGAATTCGAGACTGAAATTCCGGCGTCCATTACAAATGACCTCTTGCCATTTATGCCACATTGCGAGTTGTTGATGTAAATAATGAGACGTGCCGTTCCTATCATTGCTGTATAGGGACAGCACAATATGTCTCATTTACTAACTGCAACTAACAGTGAGTGGCATCGTTCCGCTCATGTGGTGATGGATTGGTGAGTTCGTTTCTCACGTTCAGATTCTTTCTGCAGTTCTAGGGTTCCGCCGAAAAGGTGTCGAGGCGTTTTGGGGGGTGTAGAAGATGCAAAATCTAAACCTTGAGCTATTTTTAGGCCTCTGAGGACGACAATCCTGTCGTAACGTCAGGCCAATATCAATAAAGTCTCCCAAACTCTTTGACAGAATACATTCCAACTTCAAAACTCCCTAGAGCAATTTTGTTCGGCTACTTTAGAAGACGCTGACGAGGAATATCGAATTCAAGTTGATTTTTACACGGACTACCCTGGCCAGACAAGAGAGAACAAATAATCAAATAGAAAATCTTCCTGCTTTTAGCACGTTCATACTAGATTTGCCTCGAAGCAGAGCCCGTACTTTACAACCTTCGGCTTTTTAGACTGGTGAATCACTACTTGGAAGTGTGCCACTGTTATCTAAGTCACTCTCTGAAAACCGATTATATTTCTTTTTCATAATCTTAACGCTGGGAAATCTTCTTCAAACGCTCCTCTCACGAAGCTTTCTAGTTTTGCTGATACTCAAACTTCTTAATTGATCTCTTATCATATTCTCGATTATCCAGCTTTTAATAATGCTTTTTACGTTCACATTCCACAGATCTGCCCCCGGAACCTGATTTCTTGAAAATAACAATAGGTTCCAACTTACTCCGTCTCATATAGTGTCCGCACGCGACGACCGCGCCGACTTATCTACCGGACTCTAGGGTACTTTATCGCAGGAGATTCATCAGAACAAAAATTACCGGGAAATAGGATTTTACGCGTTGAGCATTGCTTATCTTTGCCGTTGCTCATTCATCTTCTTCCTTAATCAGGTTAAACATTGTTTCCTGAAATTATGAGACTGTGGGGTTGCCTATCTATTCTTGCAGAATATGGAGGAAGAGATGGACATAGACGTGGTTGCAGATGAGAACGGGGAGCAGATAAATTCTGAACAAGACGTCCCAAGCCGTGCAGTCGACGAACCTTTAGAGGACGATGATGACGATCGGGTTGGTTGTTGAGTCCTTTCTCTGTCAATCGTAATGTGTTGTCGGCCTAGTGTGACCTAAATAGTGGTCACAGATGCTATCTAAACGAGGCCAAGGTAACCTCTTTGAATAACTTTCCCGCGCGCACCCGTTCGAGTGGCTCTCATTGGGGCGCGCTATATTGTGAGCCCGTTCAACTGCCCGAGGTTCGTTCAGAGGCATACGATTGTGTGACATCTAATCCTTTCTATGCGGCGAGAGTGCAAATCTCCCCTAGCTGTCGGTACTCTCTCGCTCTCTCTCACTCGGATCGACTGGACGATAATCGCTGGTTTCTTTTTCAAAATTACTGGTGACTCACTAGTGGGAACGTAGGGTACTACAGTGAATTACTAGTGACTTTTGGGGAGGTCAAAGAAAGGATTAAGAGTATTCGAGGTCACAGAAGTGCATGCAATTTTTATTTCCTTGTGTTCACGTAAGTCGGGATCTTTTGCATGAACAAAAACGTGTCCACCCGAATCTCTCGTGCAGAAAACAGTAGTGTTTTCTATCGACACGAGCACATCGTGAAACATTTCTTCAGCACCTTTTCGGACTGTCCCAGAAGCTCAGCCGAAAAAAAAACTAGAAAAATTGCCTTTTTTGAGTTCACATGATTTGTAAGTTCTTTTTCTCACTTGTGTTCTCATAATTATCCTCGTGGAGTGTTTCGAATAACAGTGATAACTTTCCTCACTTCATTTTGGTCAAGTATTACACTGTCCTTGGTGTGCTGATATCTACCGCTATCTTCGTTTTCTATTGAATAGCTTAGCCTTCACCAATTTCTCAATATCACCCTGCTCACGTTGAAAGCAGGCTGACCGTTCTTCAAGTTGGTGAGTCACTCTGCGTGCCTGACCGCAGCGTGCTCTCCCGTCTGGTGCCGGCCCCGAGAGCGAGACGCAGAGAAAAAACGCGCTCTCCCGCCTGGTGCCGGCCCCGAGAGCGAGACGCAGAGAAAAAACGGATTAGTTGTCCTAAGGCCGCCTCATACGAACCTCTCCCGTTGAAGTACCTTACCAGGACCACCAAGTAAGGTCGTGGACCTAGAGGAAATCAAGGGGAAGATTGGTATGATTACTATCCAAATAGGCATCCTTATGGTTTCTATTAGGTTGTCCCAAAAGTTCGTGAACATTTTTTGAATCTCGTATCAGATCTTTCCGCAGCCATTTCGAGATCCAGTTATGTGGTCTATGGGAAGTGTGTGAGGTAAGCATTCCACAGCTTCTTCACCGTCCCTCGCAGTCGCTGTTCTCATATGAAAAACGGTAATTGAAATTCATCATTTTCGACACACTTCGCTATATGAATCTCTACCAAGCCACAACGTGGTTGGAGCCATAAGCGGCATTTCCCTTATTTAGATCTTGATGTTAGCTTCCACAACTGCTTTGGAAGTGGAGAGCGGTTCAG